CATGGTGTTTTCCTCTTCCGTTCCCCCCGACGAGGTGGAGGGGGATCAAATGGCTGTGATAGAACGCGCACGTCATCTTATGACCGTGTGCCACGTCGGATGAGGTCTCTTGGGGTTGTGATTGGACGTCGAGGAGCTCATCCGATTCGGTGTCCGAAAACTCATCGAAGACTTGGTCCTGTAAAACAATATAGTCATTAAGTCAAACTGTAGTTACTAAGTGAAATACAAAGGAACGCTGATATTTGTACTTACCTCGGGTGTCTGTGGGACTGGTACGTCTTGCGAATGTTTGATAGCTGGCTGCGCCACACAAGGTACTTCCTCAGGTGTTGGTGGGACTGTTTCCGAAACGTTGAAATGTTTCGTTTCCACCATTTCCCTTTCTTTCGAAGTCCCAACAACGTCATGAGACACTTCCGTAGCCTCCAGTGCATTCCCCATGTCTCCAACCTCACCTCCTCGGTCGGTAGGCTCCGCTTCCATTGCTTCGTTGTCTTGGTCGGCCCCATTTCGATCGTCACGCTGTTCGTCCTTATCCTTTGTCGGACTCTTGCTACCACCAACCGGTCCTGCAGAATCTCCATCGCCGGTGTCATCTCCATGTCCAGCATTGTTCTTTCGAAGAACGGAAGTATCCACTGCTATTCCCTGTATGCAAGCATAATGTCAGATCACATACCATATAGATGGACTAGAAAACATTAATGGAGTACGCACCTTGACTAGCCGACGCAAGAACTTCTGAATGCTCTTCAAATCACCTTCCATGCCAGCGACACGATCGTCCATAGAAGTGACTACCTGTTCCACATTCACAAGTCGCGTATCCATGGCCGCCACCTGCTCAGTCAAGCTCCTCAAGCCAGACTTGCATTTGCAGCGATGCTTCTTGGCACTCGTCGTCTTCCTCTTACCTCTCACATCTGTATCCATGGTCGGGACATCAGGATCGGCATGGGTGGCGTTGTGCTGCGCGTCATGACCTTCCATTTCAGACTGCACTTGCCTGCTTGCCTGTTCCTCGTCACCTAAGTCGTCACTGGATGGTGGCTCAAATTCCCTTTCCATGAACCTCTCCTCCGCTTCCGTTACGATAAGTCTGATAGCCACTTTAGCCTGTACACAAAACATACTCGTAAGAGCACGTTATATGAAAATAAATATCATATATATGTAATAGTAAATGATCTCACCGATGTGGACTGGAATATCTCCTTCTCCA